GCAAAATCTCTGTGTAATGTCTTATCTACAAACTCATCAACCTTCCAAAATTTATCCCGGAACTTAATTCTATTAAAACTCCCCCTGAAATAGAAAAGCAAGTGGGCAGAGGCCGAGGCTGAATTTTCATAGCCCATAATATGGAGTATGAATACAGATAATCATTCAATTTTATGACTGTGAATAGTAAAAGCACAGTTATTCTTCACCACTACGCTTTTACTATTTATAGTAATAAAATCAAATGGTTCTCTTTGCACATACTCAATAAGAAATAATCTCTCCCCTTTATATAGAAAGCTTAAAATTGTCGGCTTACTTTTAGTGAGTTGATATATATTATTTATTCCATTTCATTATTTTTCTTCTGAGGATTTGGCCCATGCTCATCATTCCAGTCAGTTCTTTAACTCCATATGCTCATTCATGCTTAAACAGTATGGTTTTACTTAATCTAAATGCATTTCCCCCAGAAAGTCTGGTGGGGGAAGGGCAGAGTGAGCCAACAAGCTTGAAGATCTGAGCTAGATTATGGAACAACATAATAACCGAGCTTCTAATCTCAAAAAAAAAATTATAAGAATGTTGATGTGACTGACCACACCCTTTCATCCACAATCTTTTTCTTAAAAATGATCTAACAAAGTTATATGTTTTTCATTGGTTAGCTGGAAACTCTGTTAAATGCCAGTTACTAATTAATTATTACTAGCATGGACTTGTTCGCAATCTCATATGCATATGGTATTTTTATCTTGAATACCTATGCTTAAATATAAGATGAAATATATAATACTTGATTTCTTGTACTCCTACCAAAATGTAGTTTTTGTAAGACAATCATCAATCAATCTCTGTAGAAGATATAAAGAAGCATACACACTCGATCACAAACTACTTCATTATTATGATCTTACTATGAAAGATCAGGTGATTCATCAAGATGAACTTCCTTTATTCTTCATGCACCTACCCTTCACTATATAGCTTTCTTCTTGGAACTCATTGCATCCTCCGAGATAGATTTATCTAATCAACAAGTCAATGGTTTGATCATCTCAAATGCATAGGCTTCTATTTAAGCGAAAAATATAATACTTGATTTCCCAAACACCTATCAAAATATTATATTTTAAGAACAAAAATCAGCCAATCTTAAGAGAAGCTACTATGAAGCATACAACTTGCTCACAAAATACATCATCAATATTATCTATAATTGGTAGATCATGTGATCCATCCAAATGAATTACCTCGGCTTGTTCATGTGCTTACCTTCCACACTACCCCCTTTTGCTTGGAACACATGGCATCCACCAAGTATATCTATCCATACAGTATGACTATCCATAAATAAGGGTGTCAAAATGGGTATTCGGGTCGAATTCAGGTAAAACTTGGAATTGACCCAGTTCGACCTAGGACCAATACAACTAACAAGAACCTGACTCAATTTTGCAAACAAGTCAAAAATTAGACCATGACCTGACCAGTCAGGTTACCAGATTAACTTGACCTAACCCGCGAGCTTCAATTATAAGTGCTCACGGGACCATAGGATAGGGTGGGACCACAAGAGGATCGAGCACGGTCCATATGCAGAGGCATTGAGAGAGACAGGCAAGGGTGAGGCCGCATCACCAAGAGAGTGTGAGTCTGCTTGTGTTGGTGTGTACTGTGTGGGAGTTTTGAGAGGGAAAGTAACCTGTACAAGTGCATACATTGTGCATTACTAACGAGGCTACACTAGTATTGTTTATCACGGGTGTGTGTTGCCTGTGCTGATGCAAATCATTATTTCAAGGTCAACGACAAGCCAATTTTTGGTTCGTGGGTTAACCCAGACCTGACCCAATTTTCAAACTGGCCAAAAAATTCGAACCTGACCCGACCCCAACCAGTTTGTTAAACTGGTTAACATAAACCATAATTTTCTAGGTCGTGTTATCGAGTCGGGTTAATAATTGACACCTTCATTCGTAAAGACTCCACTTCCTAAAGCACTAAAGTAAATTCATCTGACTTATCCTTATATCATTCAATAATGCTTATTTAATATAAAGACTAATATCTAAATTATCTCATATTATTTCAAGACCTTACACATCTCTCATTTAGGGGTGTCAAAATTTGACCTAACCTGAACTCAAAATAAAACATTTCAGGTTCAGGTCAGCCCATTTCCCATATTGGTCTAGTTCGGGTTTGAAATTTCAACCCATTTATAAAGTCGGGCTAGGTTTGGGTTGACCAGAAAAATCAAAATAAACCCGAGTTGTCCCAAAAACTTGGCTACTGCAGTATCGAGCTCGCTCAACATCAACGATGGAGAGGGAAATAGAATCCTCATTACTTGTTGGCTGCCAGCTACCTGGCTCGCAGCCACCCATAGACCACAGTTCCCAATTTTGTGATTCCCGTACCCATATGTGCTAGACGTAGTCTCAAGACTCTTTGGGTGCTTGCCTGATGCCTATTGCTGTTGTTTTGCATCAGACCAAGCCCGATAGAACTGCACCTTAGCCAAGCCCTGCAATGGAGCAACCCTGATTCCCTCACCCAGAGGCTAGATTTGGTCTCACGCTCTCATAAATTTTGCTGTAACATTACCAATGAATATTTTATCGATTATTTTGCCAAAATTTTAGCGTATATTTAACCGCTGGAAAATCTGATGGTAATGACTTAATTTTTTATAGTGAGTAACGATCCTCCTCATAGATACTTTACTTCAAAGTTTGATCATAAGAAATAGCTGAACATTAGACCAAGTAAGTATAAACAGAGTGATGAAGGTCAGGGCCAGAGATCAATTCGACAAATGATACCATCAACACCACCTTAGAGTCAGCATCAGTCCCCCACTGAGTAGGGTTAGGGATAAACAAATACAGTTGTGGTTGGATTATTACCCCTTTACTAGGTATATTTATTTGGCATTATTTTAATTAAATTAATATTATTTATTATGAATTTTTTTATAAAAATATTTTAGGTGGCTTCCTGGGCATAGTACGAGGATCATAATAAATTATGAGAAGAGAGGATTTACTCGTCTCATGAATATGTTCACGGATATTAAAAGTCTGGGTAGCATCAATTATGGTTTGGTGAGGGAGTATGGGCTGATTTTGAGAAAAGCTTGGGTGAGCCTTGATTTCACCAAATTGAGAGAGCAGAATAAGCAAAATAGAGCATTTGATTGTGGGGGTTTATGAAGCTCTCTTCATACCGGTGGTTCAGTGCCTCATACTAAACATAGATGATGACTTGTAAAAGATTATTTCAATTAGTTTAATAAATATATGTATAATATTTTAACTATATTTTCTATTTGCAAAAAAGAGTAACTTGGTCGGGAGTTTGAACATTACTTAAGCTGCATACAAGAATTCACCAAAATCAAGGTGATCATCAGTGGGTTGATGAGAAGCCAAGAAAAGCTCACGTGAGTATAATTTTTTGAGTAATAATACAAAATAAATATAAAATTTATTTTATGGATTTATTCTCGGATGATGATTTTATACGATTTCAAGATAGTTAGCATTCTATTGGAGAGGGATCATCTTTAGGATCGACCAAGTAATCTGAGTATCAGACGTGGTCAGATGTTGTTAGGAGAAGGCAGACGGAGAGGGTTGGCTTAGGTTTGCAGGGACATGCTTATGAGAGCAGTACATCTACTTTAGTATTTTATGTTAAAGGAGGAATCATATGCTACTAGTGGGTAGTTTGTACTGCTTTTGTTAGTTTTCAATGCAGCTAAATGCTTATTTCAATAATAATAATAAAAAAAAGAATAATAGGGTAGCGAGGACCCTTACGATGATTAATTGTTGTTATTTGTTTGAAGAACTATTTGTTGTATTTGGAACATATGCATTTAAAATAACTTGTTTTATATTTTAAAGATTGTCTAAAAAGTTGAACTTTATTTTTTTAATATTTTATGTTTTGTGGATGTTAGTGTATTTCATATATGTTTTGGTGAGTATGGATTGTGGATGTTTGTGTTTTATATATTATGTTTTGAACTGCATGAGTATATGTATAAAAGTACTTCATATATGTCTTCAACTACCTACAGATTATTATGGGAATTTGTTTCGATAGAGGGGGACTATCATTTTTTTTGTATTTGCTACATGTTTTTTTTTGCGGCTAGCCGGCAGTTTAGCTACTGACAATAACAGTGATTTAACCACCGGTAATACTATCGGTACAAATCGGCAATCACTGGTAATTTTTGTGCCTAAATCTTCTGGCGTTTTTTGTATTTATTATCATTAAATAAGTCAGTTAGTCTCATTAGAGAATCAGGACCAAGTCAGAACTGGTCATAGTATTCCCATCACAAAGTTCACACAAAATCAATGTATATCACATATCATGTACTAATCCATCTTGGGGCCAACCTAGAAGGAACCAAACTAATCAATCATTAGTCATATATATCATCTCATCTGTCATCTATCATTATCTATCATCAGTCTTATCCATCATCAATCTTCTTTTCATCGATATTATCTATCATTAATCATTTTTCATCAGGCTTATCTTTCACCTATCATAGATCTTATCCATCGTATATCATCTATCATCAGTCTTATCTATCATTTATCATCTTTCATATCTATCATCTATAAAGAATTGTCACTCTCTGTCTATTAGTGTAATTAAGTAAATAAATTACATACTAACATCACCTTTTTCACATACATTTTATATCATTCATCTCATAATAATGAACATCATGTGCATATTGTTAGCACACTCAAATAGAATGTTCTACTAGTGGCCCCCTTACAGACGGCTCTGCTCCAGCCATCTACAAACACAGATCACTCACCTGTGGCTAACGGCTCTACCATCTAAAGGGATACCACTCTCTATAAATCATGATTACTCTTTACTTCTATAAAATATGTAACCTCTTCTCTACAATATCAATAAGATTATTTTATCTACAGTAAACATGTTTGTCAACTCTTCTTACGCTACTGATTTCTCTTCATGGTATCAGAGCCCTGAGCTCCACCGCCTTGTTTCTCCATGGCAGAACAAAGTTCATACTCTTCCAGTACCACTCCGGCATCCTCCTTATCTGCAACAATGGCGGACTTCATAGTTCTAGCTCCATTGAAGTTTCTTACGATGAATCTCCAACTTATCATCAATCTCCAACTCACAAAGGAGAATTATGCCATTTGAAGCCTGCAAGTGCACAAGCTCTTCACGGTGAATGGTTTTGATGGCTATCTCACAGGAAAACAAGTTCATTTGATCATACCTTCTTCATATCTCGAACTGAAGCTTTGGCTCCTCATCGACCAAACCTCATCGTCGCTCTTCTCTCAATCATTTCACCCTGAGTTCTTCCCTATGTCCTTCAGCTCTCCACCTCTGCTGAGATCTGGAACACTAGCCAATCTCTTGTAGCCTACCAATAGGTTGAGATTCATTCAGCTCAAAAATGAGCTACATAGCATCCAATTGAATGATTCCATGATGACGCAGTATCTCTCTCAGATAAAACAACTAGTTGACAACATTTTCTCTACCGGATCGCAAGTGGATAAAGAAGACATTATCATGTACATTCTCAATGATCTACCATCATCTTACAATCCCTTGGAAGACCTTTATCCACACCACACAACTGTTGATCAGTCTAGACACCTTGTATTCTCTTCTTTATAGTAAAGAAATACATGTCAACAACAAACTACAACGTGACATTCCTCCCGCTGCAGACAATGTAGCCTTTTCCTCAGGATGCGGCAGAAGCAATCGAGGCCATTGCAACTCTCACGGGTGCTCCTTCTCACCCAGACTGCAGTCCAATAGCAATCGCCCTCCATCCACACAGGGAAATACACGGCCTACTTATCAAATTTGTGGGAACACATTCCATTTTGCTCTTGATTGCTGGCATAAATGCAACATGAACTACTCGTCGTCGGGCCCTCCTTGAGCTCTTATATCTCAACCACAAAGTCACAACACTACTGAATGGATTTTGGACTCTGGAGCATCAAGTCACCTTACCTCAGCATCGAGTCATGAAGTCATTAGCTAAATTAATGGAGCCACAAACTACCTTTTATTAATGGATATTGCTACTATGTAACTTTCATTGATACTCACTCTCATTTTTGTACCTCAAAATTATCAAACTAGCCAGTTTCATCAGCTGTAAACCGACATCCACACCTATGGCTCTCAAGCCTTCCAGCAATGCAGACTCCTACATGCCTTATTACAATCCTTCCTTCTACAGGAAATTAGTAGGAGCGTTCATGTACCTCAAAATTATAAGGCCCGATATATCATTCGCCACCACCAGCATATGCTAATCTATGCACAATCCCTCCAACCAGAAATTTCAATCCCTCAAACATCTTCTCAGATACATCCAAGGCACACAAACCTTCAGGTTAACATTTCGAATAGGCGATCTCCAACTTCACACTTATGTTGATGCTTACTAGGCCGCTGACTGGTCAGATCGCAAATCAATTTTTGGGATGAGCTCCTTTCTCGGACTAAATCTCATCTCATGGCAAGTTAAGAAGAAACCAACCGTCGCCAAATCCTTGAATGAGGCTGAATATCGTGCTCTTTCCACAACCACCTCCGACGTTATCTGGCTCCACCGACTGTTACAAGAATTTCAGGTTACTCAGCTACATCCAACTCCCATTCATTATGACAACACCTCGACAATTGCTCTCGCTCACAATCCAGCCTTCCATGCCAAAACCAAACACATCAAGCTAGATTATCATTTCATTAGTGATCACATATAATCCAAACAAGTCACAATTCAACATATTCACTCTCTGGATCAGCCAGCGAACATCTTGACTAAACTGCTTCCTCTTCTTCTCTTTCAACAACTCCGAACGAAATTATCTGTCCAGAATCTGGACACTAAATTTGCGGGGGGCTGTTAGCACACTCAAATAGAATGTTCTACTAGTGGTCCCCTTACAGACTGCTCTGCTTTAGCTGTCTCAAATGTAGATTACTCACCTGCGGCTAATGGCTCTGCCATCATAAGGGATACCACTCTCTACAAATCATGATTACTCTTTACTTCTATAAATCTATAACATATTCTCTACAATATCAATGAGAATGTTTTATCTACAATAAACCTATATGTCGACTCTTCTTAGGCTCTCTGATTTCTCTTCACATATCGAATACAATTATTAGTACATATAGATAGATTGAGTATACTCATATATATGCATGCATTATGTCCCAAAATGAATGTCATGCTTAATGAAAAATAATCATATACAGATTCAGTACATTTTTTTTTTGGGGGGGGGGGGGGAATTTGGGGTGGGGGGGGGGGGGAAATTTGGGCTTGGCCCTTCTATTGAATCAACAAAAAATTACATCTGTGATAAAAATCACCAAAAGTAGGCCAAAAGAAGTAAGACCTGAACTAAGTAAAAAAAACACAAAAAAAACTAACAGCAAATAGAAGCTGTTGAAGCAAAATAAAAGACTATGGAGGAACAAACCAAAATTTGAACCTGCTCCCAAGCCAATAAGGGCTGGACTCAGAATAAAGATAGAAGACGAAATACCCTGGTTGCCCGAAGACCATCCAAGGGACCTGCAAAGGGAGCCTCATCATTGTCCAGTCAGGCCAGTAGGCTTTAGACGAAGGGACAGGGACAGGAACCCGATGATGCAACCAGCACGGCCAGCTCATTAGAAAATTTCCAAAATTTCTGTATAATTCTTCCATTTCATAAGCTTCATATGCAGATTCCTTTTGATACTTAACAAAACAGTAGTCTTGCATAGATATTTCCCTCCAAATCTTCTATTGTTCCTTTCTTTCCAAATATAGTAGATAATACAACAGATAGCCACCTTTAAAGGTTTTAAAACTTCTTTTTTCTCGTGGAAAGCTTCAGTTAACCAGTCAAAAAGTTGCATAATAGAAGGTCTAAAGAGAAAGATGCACATCCCAGGGATAATACTCTTAAGAATATCAAACGAAAAGAGCATTCAAAAAATAAATGGGACACACATTCCTTATGAGTATTACATAAACTGCAGCCAAGAGGAACATGAATATTTCTAGTAAGGAGAGCATGTGCAGTCTTTAAACCCCCAGCTAAAGCAAGCCAAACAAAAACCGTATGTTTAAGAATATGTCCCCTATGCCATATCATGTTAACCCAGCAGCAGTCTGATTTTTCAGAATAGAATTCATCTATAAAAAGTTTGAAACAAACATTTTTACTATTGTTCCAAGACAGACAAGCACCAAAACTATCCGAAATCTGCATGCCATAAAAAACCTGATGATGGGATGTATGAATTTTACCGGAGAGATCCCAAGTGTTTCCAAAAATGAGCTCAGAAAGAGGAATATCATGAATGATATCAAGGTTAGCATCGCCAATAAAAGCCCCTAACGTGAGGTTATGGCACCAGTGATCCCATTTAAGAGAAACAGTAGAGTTTTGAGTGATAGAGAATTTAAAGCAATGTTTAGAGTCCACAGTAGTTTTACAGATTGATTTCCAGAGTTTAGATGCAGAAACCAGAGGCGCCTTCCACGGAGATCTGTATTTGGTAAGAAGCCAGATGGAAAGAGGAGTAGTGCAATTATACATCCTGAAGATTACAGAGCAGTGGTAAGCAAACTGCAAGGCTTGTATAGAAGGGATACCCAGTCCACCTTTGGATTTAGGATTGCAAATTTTGTCCCAAGAGAGCATATGAAGCTTCTTTCCAGAGTTAACATCCCCAAAAAATAGAAATCTAGAGGATAATTTTTTATAGACTTTGTATATAGCTTTAGGCAATATAGAACCACGTATCCAATATGCTATAGTGTTTTGTATGGTGAATTTCAAGTATTGTAGTCTACCAGCAAAAGACAATAAATTATCTTTCCAGCCATTAAGTTTCCTGTTTAAGCAATCCAGCAGAGGGAGGAAATCACCAATTTTAAGCCAATAAAAAGAAAGAGGTATACCAAGGTAGGTAATTTTATCTACTATGGTGTGAATAGATAGCTCATGACAAATATCAAGGTGATTTCTCAGATGTTTAGGGAACATGATAGAGCTTTTTTCATAATTGATGTAGAGACCCGTGGAATTAGCAAAGTCCCTCAGCACCGAAGCAAGAATTTTACAGTTATCAGTTGTGGCCTCCCCAAAGATCAAAACATCATCTGCATAGAGCAAATGAGTAAGAGAATAATTATCAGTAGTAACACCTTTGAAACCCCTCCCCTCAAGAAGATTGGAGAAAGCATCCATGACCAGACAAAAGAGGTAGAGACTAAGAGGACACCCCTGCCTCAACCCTGCAGTAGAGGAGAAGTACCCTTCAAGAGCACCGTTAAGAACTATAGAATAATTCACATCAGAAACAAAGCTTTGATCCAATTTACAAACACATTAGGAAAACCTTTTTGCAAGAGCCTAGCCAACAGGAACTGTCTAGAGACACAATCAAAAGCCTTTTTAAAGTCTAATTTGGCACAAAAAAAAAGATTGGCGCCTCCTCTTTTCCCTGCATAATAAAGGATATCACTAGCAAGCAATATGTTGTCAGTCGACACTCTAGATTTCACAAATCCCGCTCGGTTGTCCTTGACAATCAAGCACATAATCGGTTTTATCCTAGCAGCCATCACCTTGGTGATAATTTTGTACAAGACATTACACAAAGCTATAAGCCTATAATCAGATATACTGGCTGCATTTTTATGTTTAGGGATAATAGCAAGTGCAGTAGATTTAACTCCATTAGGCATATATCCTTTAAGAAAAAAGGAATGAACAGCCCTGCAAATAGTAGGCCCAAGGATATGCCACCCCGTTTTATAAAAATGGAAGTTGAAGCCATCAGGCCCCAGAGCAGATGAGGAGGAGCCCGAAAATACCGTATTTTTTATTTCATCATCAGTCACAGTAGAGATAATAGAAGATACATGAGCATCCGGCAAAGCACTGCCTAACGGGAAAGAGTCCAATTCCAGAGAAGCAGGTGGAGTAGGATTGTATAATTCTTGGAAGTACTGTATAATGGAATTAACCACATCAGCTCTAGTGGAAAGGGGATTACAGGCAAGAAGATTAACAACAGATTTGGTGCCACCCATTTTAGTCCGGATCTTAGAATATAGGAATTTAAGGTCGTCTTCCCCATGTTTTAACCAGTTGACCTTAGCCCTTTGAATAATCCACGAGGCTTGCAAAGAAGATAAGTTTGCAAGCTCATCATTAGCATCCTTGTAAGCAAGATTCATAAAAGTATTGGTAGGGACAGATTGCAAAGCATCCAGAATATACTTTTGCTTATGAAGACATTGATCCATATGCTTACTGATAGTAGAAGAAGTGGCCCAATTTTGAGTTTTGAGACTACTCTTTAAAATTCTCAAACTGTTACATAAGTGGGATAACGGATTTCCCGAGATAGGCAAGCAAAAAGAGTCAAGAAGAAGTTCCCAGTACTTATCAATTATAGACCAGTAATTTTTGTATAGAAATCTGTGGTTCACCTGGAAATTCCTACCATAATGAATAATGATTGGACAGTGATCAGAACAGGATGAACTCTGGTAGGAGCAGTATGAATCAGTGAAAGTTTTAACCCAACCTTCATTAACCAAAACTCTATCAAGTTTAATGTGTATAGGATGATCCGTACATTGATTGAACCAAGTAAATTTGCAACCAACAGAGTGCAAATCCATCAGGCTGTTATTGAATATCATGTTATTGAAATCTAATAATGCACCAAAACTCTGTATTCATTGATACATACAGAGATATGTGCTCGGGAGAGAAGGAGTCGTCTGCGAGGCGATTTTAGGGTTTTTTCTGCTGACTCGCTCCCGCCGCCACCTCCTCCTCTGGCTAAGCCAGAGGCTTCTCTCTTCATCTTCTAATGGATGCTGCTCTCCTAGCTTCGGACTTTCCCCTGCTCGGTTCGTCTTCTGGTAGGGCGGTTCTTCCAGCTCCTAAGAACTGGAATCAAGTATTTGCTCCCGACAACAACTCCCCGAAAGCTTTCAACTTCTCCCACTTCCCTTCGGAACCTGAGATTATTCCATTCTCGGGGGAAAATCTTTCAAAGGGAGGTGAGGACTGGAAACTTTGTTTAGTTGGTTATTCGATAGGGAGACGACCTTTTTATGAGTCGTTGTTGGGTGCTATCAAAAAGACTTGGTCCTTGAAAGGCTCTGTCCAGTTACTCTCTCTAAACGATGGTTTTTTTCTCCTGCGTTTCTCCTGTGTAGAAGATTTTGAACTGGTATGGTCTCGTGGAGTTTGGTTCTACTTGGTAAACCGTTTGTGCTCCAGAAATGGCATCCTAAGTTTAAACCGAGAAAGGAAGACTTCAAGACAGTTCCGATCTGGGTGAAAATCCACGATCTTCCTCTTGCTTGCTGGAATTCGGAAGGCATCTCGCGGATAACCAGCAAGATTGGTGTCCCTATAGCCGCAGACAATCTTACGAAGCTTAAGACTCGACTCACGTATGCTCGAATTTGCGTCCTAGTTGACTGCAATGCTACCTACCCGGATGAAATTCAAGTTTCCTTGGATGGTGATGTGGTAAGCTTGTCTGTGCAATATGAGTGGCGCCCTTTCCCTTGCTTTCACTGTAAGTCGTTAATGCATTTTTCATCTTCTTGCCCTTCAAAACCTAATGTGGATTCTAATGGTAAAGTTAATGAAGAAACAAAAAACAGAGGTCGGAGCTTTAGTAGATTCCCTCGGTCCCGCAACCAGTCCAGAACTCAAAAAATTTCTAGACCTCCTCTCTCTAAACCTGTACCTTCAACCGACATAGATCACATTCAAGATTCGACCCCTAATATGCAAGGTGCTCATACTGTGGTTGATCAAGCCTTGTATTACCAACCCCACTCTCCCTCCTCTCTTAAATCTGCTCCGCTACAAATGGTTCCTCCCCAAATCACCTCCTTCAAAGATACCCAGCTTAATGCAGATGCTATTGTTTCGACAATTCCAAACTTAAACTCCCCTAACAATGATACTTCATCTTCCAATAGTGTCCTAAACATTAAGTCTTCCTCAGTTCAAAAAGCCTTTATTTCTCCTAACAAATTTGATGCACTGAACACTGAGAAAGAATCCACCACCCACACTGAAGATCTAACCGAGAATGATAATGCCATGTCTGAAAAAGCTGTTGATGGTGGTCAGCTTTCTAACCTTAAAATGGCTGGTAAGTCGAAATCACAACAGCCTACGGTAGCCTCCAAAAAATCTGCTAATGGGAAGCAGGTCAAAAAAAAACCCCTCTCAACAAAAATCCTAATGTCTTTTCCACCCATAGCGGTGTGGAACATCAGGGGGTTTAACCGGCCTGATAAAGTTTTGTGTTGCAAAAGGCTTATTGACTCGTTCAAACTGGATATGGTCTGCATATTAGAGAACAGGATTCATACACAGTCTTTTTGTGATCCGTTTTCTTCGAAGCTTCCCACAACCTATTCCCGAATGAGCAAAGTTGTCACAACTTCCATCTGTCAAACTCTGGGAGAATTTGGCTCAAATGGAATCCTGCTAAATTTCAATTCATTCCTTCTCTGATCACTACTCAACTGATCTCTGGCTCTCTACTGGTTGGGAATTCTCCACTATCAACTCTCTGTTATATATGCTTCCAACAACTGTCTGGACCGTAAAATTCTGTGGGAGGATATTGCTAAGGTTGCTCCTATTGTTGATCTCCCTTGGACTCTTATTGGGGATTATAATTGCTGTAGGTTCGCTTCGGAGAAAGTAGGTGGGACTCCCATTCCTAATTCAGTACATTTTCACCTGATCATTTTACCGTTAATATTTTATTACTCAATTTATATAAAATGACATACAAGTCAATTTATATTTTCTTCCTACAGTTAGTTTTCTTACTCAAAAACCAGATTTTATTGGAAAAGCACGCGGGAATGCTGAAGAATGCCCATGAAACCTTTGGCTCACTCTTGAGTGCGCTAAAACTGTTGACGCATTCATTGCTTGCGCAGAACTGTTTAGCATTTTCTAACTGCGCCAAAATCTCTAGCGCATCTACCCTTCTTAAATTTAGCTATTATTATTATTATTATTATTATTATATATTTTTTGTAGTTTTCAATATTAAAAAATAAAACACAAGGAAACAAGTCATATGATTAGCTGGCAAGGTAGACAACCTTGCAGCCCTTAATCGACGATTGTCATGTAGGAATTCACTCCTTATATTAAACTATTTAGAGACCAAAATTCGTAGTCCAATTTCCTTATCTTTACAGCTTTAAATGTTTTTTTGCGTTATTTTTAACGAAAAAAAATGTCAAGAAAGCAACGATTGGCATTTGCAGCCTGTCCATTTGCAGCTATTTGGTATGGCATTAACCTATGATAGACAAAAAAGAATGTTTAAAGTTCTTCTTAAAAAAAAACGATACCAGCTAAAAATAACGTAGAAGATATTCCTCTAAACAAAATAAATATGTCGTGGAATTTTGGACTGGTCGCAGCTCATCTTGGTCTATTAATTTGGAGCTTTGATTATCAACCAAAAAATCTTCGATTCGAGTTTTATGTAGATGATGTGTGTTAGTTTATCTTTATTAGCCTAAGTGTTCCAAAAAAAATTATAAAGGAACATAAAATTTGAGCTAAATCATATTTATTTAAATGGTATAAACATATTTTTCATTATTAATCTTCAAAAAGAATTAGTAATAACATTTACTGTTTCAGAGTGTTTAATATTTCAAGAAAATAATTAATTATTAAGCCCTACGTATTTCTTCCTATAAAAGAATGAAGAAACTTGCACTCCATCCTCACCCTTCGCCTACAACGTAACCAAATCAAAAGCCTAACATTCATACAGAGATAGAAAGCAAGCTAGAAATAATCCATGGCGTTCACACGTAATATCATTCTCCTCTTCTCTGCCATCGTCCTCCTCAACCACATCTCTATTACCACTGGAAATGCCAATGATATTGAGGTGATAATAGATGTTGAGCACAACAGTGCCGTACAGGAACTCGGAAAGTTCGCTGTCGAAAAAGAAAATTTACAAAACTCATTGATTTCTTTTATCGAGGTGGTAAGTGCCAAGCGATGGCCGGTTGGTAATGGTTTTATGTACTTCCTCAATATTAATTCCAAGAAGAATATCAATGATGTCGAAGTTGAAGGATCCTTCTTCGCGTATGTGAATGTGCAATCAGATGGCCGAACCTTCAAGACTGGGATCTTCCAGGCTACCACGAGTTGAGCAAAAAACTCTTTTTGCCATTAAGTGTGGATTTTAGCTCTTTTGTGTGTGGGGTGTTTGTGTGCATGCTTATGATAATTTAAGTTCTGTGAGGTTTTTCAAAGAACGACGCTTAGTTAATAAATTTGTAGTAGGGTTGGTGGGTTTGGATCATGTATTTCAGTTGAAATTGTTAAGTTCCTAGTTCTTTGTATCTTCAGAGTATGATCTAATGAAATAAGTGATGAGCAGATTTTTCTGTTTGTTGGGAGATTTTGTTGAATCCATTCAATCAGATTTTTATTCAACAATAAAAAAATTTTATTTTTTTTCAGATGAATAGAATATAAAGTATTTATACATCACACTTATTTTTAAATAAATTCGAAAATTTATTATGATCATTTAAGTCTAATATTCTGACACAAAATATTTCATGAAATTAAGACTTCCTTCGCTTGTTTTTGCTGATATTCTGCATTTTCTATACGTTAATGTTAATTACGCCTAAAAGGTTATTCCCAATAATCATTACACTATGCCCATGCATGTATCTCAATATTCTGAATTTCCTCTGAAACAATTTTTATTTGGAATCAAGAGAATGTTTCTCCTAGTTTATTCTCTTCCCTCTTTTATACAAAGTCAGTACGGGAATTTGTTATTGATGCCTGTCTGATTTGAAAGATTGGCTCTACTTTAAGCTCCCATCATAGAGAGATTATTACGTGCGGAGTTGGGACACAGAGAACTGTTCCGTTTTGTGATTGTGAATAGTAAAAGTACAGTAATTACCACCACTGTGCTTTTATTGTTCATAGTCACAAAATCGAACCGTTCTCTGCGTCCGGACTCCGCGTGTAATCTCTCCCCTTTGTGCAGCAAGCTTAAAACTGTCGGAATACTTTCAATGAGTGGAAATATAATCTTTATTCCATTTCAACGTTTTGCTTTTAAGGATTTGGCCCAAGCTCATCATTCCAATCAGTTCATTAACTCCATATGCTCATTCATGCTTAAACAGTACGGTTTTACTTGGTCTAAATATGTTTGCCCCATAAAGTCTGGTGGGAGAAGGGCAGAGTGAGCCTACAAGCTTGAAGATCTAAGCTAGATTTTGGAACAAAACACAATAACTGAATTTCTAATCTCAACAAAAAATTATAAGAATGTCGAAGTGACTGCCCACACATTTTCATCCACAATCATATTCTTATAAATGATCTAACAAACTTACATATTCTTCATTGGTTACCTGGAAACTTTGTTAAATGCCTATTACTAAGAGCGTCTCCAGCCGATCGGCAAACACGCGAATGCAGATCCACTGACTTCCCAACCGAACGAGATTTTTTACGGCATTCATATGCTGATGAACAGTGCGACGCCAATACGCCATATTTCTTTTTTAATATATGATTGATTTTTAATTTTAAATGTTTAAGTATAAATTTATATTATAAA